TATGTATACCCTGACTACTGTGCCAACAAAGTTTTGTGGTAAATTACTACACTTAAAAGCAATGAAGCAAAATAAAAAATGCCAGAGGGATACAGTACATAGAAGGAAAGGTGGAGAAGATACTCCTAACAGTAATTTTAACTTAAAAATGACATTTAGTTCTCAGCTTCTTGGAAAAAAAAAGAAAAATGAACACAGGATAGTAATTTTTTTTTTTTTTTAACCAAGTGACACATCTGTTGTTGTTGTTGTTGTTGTTTTTGGTAAGGATGTATGTGGGAGTGGAGGATAAACAACTGTCCTGGCATTAATTCTAAGAGAATGTAATCATGTGGATGCTTATGTAAAGAAACTTCAGTAACATGAGGGTAAGTATTCAACAGGAGCCATCCAAAAGAAGCAGTAAGAAAAGCTTTCAAGCATAATTTGAAAAGGCTACATATTTACGAACAGGGTGATCACCTGGCTTGCTCAGGACAGCCCAACGTATACCTACCATTCTAGCCTAAATATTAATAGTGTCCCATCTCACTCTCAGAAGGATCCAAATTTGGCTGATAAATTATGTGGTCGTCTTATCTATGGGAAATTTAGTCCAGATAGGTTGCTTTGTAGTGACCTTGTTTGAAAGAGGGAAGGACTTCACAAACAATTTCTGTTAAATTTCAAGAAGAATTGGATGGTAAAAATTTAAGATCTAAATTAAAAGAGAAGGTATGAAATATACAAGAGATATTCTCTTTATACTCAAAAACAATGCAATAACATCATAAAACTCACACTCAGAATTGAAAGCAATTCTTCAGTGCTGCATTCAGGTTTCAAACGGTCCTTGAACATTTTAACTGTTTGGTGCTTCAAGTAGTAATAGGAGGCAATTCGGCCATATGTGAGAGGTTCAATGCTCCGATTATCCTGTTTCAAAAGAAAGATAAAATGACATAAATAAAAAGTACAATGGAAATATATAATTTCATAAATTAATAATTTAAACTACAGGTTGCTATTGAAACAATTTTGTTAAAAATTTTGATATCATTAGGAGCAAAAACCCTACTATTAAAAAGCTGGGCAATCTTTTCAATTAGAACGTATATGACCAAGTCGTACCTCTCCAATTTCAATACAGTAGGAAAGTTCCAATTCAATCAGGGACTTCTCAATCAGATGGGATAGAAACTTGTTCACAGAATCATGGCTCACATCACCCAAATTGTAGTAGCTAGAAAGCAAGCAAGGTTATTATTTGTTTCAAGATATTTTCTACTAAAACTATCACCTTAGTTTCTCTGTCTCTCTCTTTCATATGCACACACATACACACACACACACAAAATCCGCGTTTATTATAAAACCTATCCTCAGTAACTTCACAAAACTCACAGAGCTATTTGGTGGTAGATGAGTTCTTTTAGAAAATTTAGTCAGTTATTGTTCCTCTAGTGCTTAAGGAATAAACGTCATCCTAATGACTAGAAGGGGCTAAAAATAAAGCATTCTAACTGAGCTGAAAACACACAGGTCCGGCTCCATACGTTTACCAAGAAAAAAGGCTAAAGACACGCAATTCACCTGATTGTTCCTCCCTGTAACTCTGACAGGTTCTTGGTAAATCCCTATGTTCACTAGGAATTTGTGTCTGGAACAGATCCAAAGGGTGAGGAACTACACCCACACTCATGGAAGTTCTCTAATTCTTACTGTGTGAGCCCTGTACCCTGTCAGCATGGAGAATTTATATGCCCTGCCATCCTTTTCCCCATCCCAATCAAAGAACAGGAGTGAAAAGTGGTCCTAAGGAACAGGTTCTCATCACTAAAACCTTACCAGGACAGTTTCACATCTGCATAGCACAAGGAAGGAAATATTTGTAGCTGGGAAAAGGGTGCTAACAATCTCAAATGGGAGAAGCCTAAAGGAAACGAGAACCTGAGAGTGATGGAGAACACTGTCAGGATGATGATTTTTGTGATTTGTTTTTTCTTTTTTCAAAGGGAAGGACTTGGGGTCTGTAACTTACAAAAATTATTTAAAAATACACAAATCAGGACTTAAATTATGTCAGGGTATATTTTTATTAGAAAGGACAGTTAGCACAAATGGCTAGGTATACCCAAATATGAGCATCTCCACTGAATAAAGATTAATAAGAGACTACTGGAATTTATTTGAAAAAATAACTTTTCATAAAAAAGGAATAGTTAATTTAATTCTGGTCCGCAGAAAAATTATTGTTTTTCCTGGAAAAACTCTTGCCATGGACCAAAATAAGCAACATTTATCAATAAAGAGAAAAGTACTGAACCCAGTGCTGTCATTAATTTAAACAAAATGCTGACAAGGCATATATAGAAGTGGAAACCAGAATTATTAACCATTAGAAAATATTTCCTTTATCCTGGAAAATGACTAAGCAGGACTATTTAGTTAGAATAATGTCTTCTGTTTTAGAGGTGAAAATAAAAATTTTGGACATTCAAAGCCCCATAAAAGAGACAAATATCCAAAGCCATTCCAAATTATTAAAAATATTTTTTCATTTTTTCCAAGAAATGAAATTCATAAGTCAAACTTTCTGCAATGTAAGTGCTTACTTTATATTTCACATTCGTTTGGCTTGCTAAGCCTATAAAGTTTCTGATACTATTTTCAGCTGTCTGGATCAATACAT